TAGAATTTAAACAATGGGAAATCTACAATCTTCATGAATCGCCTAGCACAAACATTTATTTGGAAAATTTATAATAATCGTTGATAATTTGCAAAATTATTAGATCCAAAGTCTCATAAAGTTAAGTTTAATTGATTACAAGGTTGTTTGACACAGCTCTGAATGTATATCTAGGGTTTTCCCACAAAAACACATGACAGTGGTATTCAAAACTATTGAATGAAGTTTAGCTAGTTACCTTAACGTCACTGCATTTTCTCGTTTTCATTCAATTGACTTGAATAAAGAAACCAATTTGTAAGGTTAATTCCTATTTATTACTGAACTTGAAATTTATTTCTAATAAGATGATTTCACTTTTAACCAAAACCTAGATATTAGAACATTTTGCTTTATAAGTTTACAACTCATATTGATGGTATTCAAAGGAAAGAAGGGTATTTTAGGCTACACAACATACGTTAGATATATGGTATATGTAAACTGCCTGAAATCATTAATTATTAAACGGTCATAAACTATATGGTTATAACGGTAGCATGAGTCGGACGTGAATGCCTGATATAGTGTACACTACGTTTTTCCAAATTATGTCAGATATTACTAGGATTAAATTGAACAAAAAAAGTAATTGAAGTTTTAAGAATTATCGGTTATTGAAATTAACAAAACTGTAGGAAATTCGTCTAAACTGTATGTGGACTCAAAATTAGTTTCATTTAGTATGCGAACTGAACGACAGAATTTTGTAACTACTGTTTACTACACAAAATTAGAGATTCTTTGATAATTAAACAAACAGTGACCAGATTAAAAGTAGAAATGATTGAACCGTTAAAATACAAACCAATTGATTTATTTAAAAAGAGAAACTCAGTAATTATTTCGGAATTTCTATCTAATAATATTATTTCAAGTCATTATAAACTGTTTACCTTCGTGCGCGAGACCGATAGGTCCTGGGTTCGAATCTCACTAGGCGAGGTCATGGATGTGCACTGCTGAGGAGTCTCACAATTAGACAAAACGGCCGTCTAGTGCTTTTAGGTTCTCCATGGTGATCTAGCTTCAATTGACTCATGATCTCAACTATCAAAATTACTATAATATCCACAAAACCCCTTCTGAAATAAATTATGCTTTAAAGTTAGCATTAGTTTAATAAATAAAGGGCAAAATGCAGCAAACATGCATGTGAACAAGGTTGACTAGACATTAAAGAGAAATAGTATTTCGGAGAAAATGTTTTTTGAATAAATTACATCATGTTTTATCATAAACTATGATAACGTATTAACCCCATAAGACTAATATATTCATAGACATATCAATCTAGAATAACAGGTAATTTTATAATTGCTTAATGAGATTATTTTACGTTCACTTTTCGTATTTATTTGGTTCTATCTAATTGAATTTCGTAGTCATCAGTTAGCTTAGATACAATAAATAATATTTAGAACAGAAATATAAGTGGGTGATAATTATCATTTAAGAAATATACCATATACTTATCACTATTTCTAAGTGATGACTTGAATATTATTTCTCTTGTTAATTTTTGTGTAACTTTCTTTTAGTCAAAATCATAGTTTTTTTAGTATCGATATTGTAATCTTGATTTAAATCGATAATTTATTCAATTAGAAGACATTTGTCGGCTGATCAAGTCCTTAAGTCGTTAATAAAATGACTGTTACCTATTCAACACACATACTGCATTAATGTACATAAGAATAGTTTAATTCCTTGTTACTGAAAGATATGAGTTTGTGTTTTTGCTTTATAAAGAATTTTTTTAGTCTTAGTAAATTAACTGATTACTTCACATGAAAACATGTAGTTCAAATCAGTTATGTCTACAAAAATATCTTTTATTTACGTTGCCTTTGTCATTCTGAAATGTTGATACAAATCTGAATTTTTATTCACATATTTTTTTTCTCTTAAATCCATTGAATCCTTGTACATCAATCTGGGATTTACAGGATGTGTATATCAATGGAAAACACAAAAGAAGTTATTCAGTCACCATTTGACATACTCAACTATTAAGTTAACTGTATCAAAACATATATAAACACATTGTATACATCAAAATACATTGGACTGTAAAAAAACGTTTCTATGAAATGAGTTGTAGTTTTATTTTAAATCACAGCTTAAATAGTATCGATTTCAATTACACAAAATGTATTTATTCCTTTAAAGTTGTATATAAATCTTGTTCAAGTGGTACCAAATAGCAAGAAATGTAGATCTAGAAATTTCACTTGATTGTTTCTAATGATGTAACATTAGCTTTTCTAAATTATGAAAATAATTAAATTGAAATTTTAATTGATTATTCAAAGATACTTTTGTTTTCATAAGTTTTACTATATTTTCAATGTGTTACATCAAAAGTTATCTCAAATGATTTATTATATATAAAGGTTTGTATTTTCTCGTTTTTGTTCAAAATCATTCAATTTGATAATTAATATTAAACTGATATAGTGGAAAGAAAAGTCAATTTTCGATTGATTTACTCACCATGAGTTTGGTTCAAGATTATTTCCGTTATGATTCAATGTAATGATTACTCAATGTAATATTTGTTTTCTTTTCTCGTATGATATTTTATCCTGTATAATATGCGATATTCTTGTATTCCATTGACATGAACTATGCTCTATATGTGATTTTATCCTAATTATTTATCAAAATAGGTGTACAATCAATATATAAATGAGTGTATTTTCTACTACAGTCGTCGTTGTCGTGTTTTGAGGTTAATAAATCAGTGTTCTTACTTTTGCGTCGTGGGAATTGCAGAAGTCCCTCGTTCCGATTATAAGTGATAAGCGTTTCCGACATAACAATCAGCGATGACCAGATACAAAAAGCAGCATTAAAAGAGCCAAGACAATAAGGATCCAAACGACAAGTTATAACACAAACATCTAAAACATTTTAAGATTTCTAATTTTGTTTTAGTTCACTTTTATCCAACTTTACTTTGTACAAATCTATTTTCCCTTTTTGAGGTTTTAAAGATAAAAGGTGGATATTACACTGATTATAGTAAAAATACACAAGTTTTGACTTGTACTGGTTATTGTTCATGCGATATCGATGTCGTTATAACCTGGGTATTGTACGACCCCATGAATATTGCTATTACAACTACAACTACAATCGCTACTCCTATTAGGACTACATTACTAGTCTTGTACTTATTGTTGACAATTTCTAAAGTGTCCTTCATAACCACGTTTATTATTATTACTCCTAGCTGTATAAAAAGACAATCAGTTTATAAAAGTTCACCATTTAAAATTCTGTTTTATGATTTATTGATATTAGTTTACCACATGCTGAACGTGAAAGGTTACCATGTCTCTTACCTTAATATTCTCTAATCTTAATTATCTTGTATTTATTACTTGTAAACAGCCTTCTACTTGCCTGTTGTAAATTTTCGGATAATCTCAGTGTTGAAATCCAGTAACCTAAATTATGATTGACCTTGGTGATGATATGAAGAAGAAATAATTGAAAAAATATTCCATCTCATTTCAAATTAGTCTCATATGAATATAAGTAACAATATGATATTAGACAATTATGTAACAACATTTTATGCATAACAAATCGGTTTATTCACTAGATTACTATACTGTTAACTTTTATTCATTATCATGAATATGATGTTGATTTATATTTTCAAATGAAAACAACAACAACAGAATAACAAATGCCTAAATATAAAACAATGTTACATTTATCATTACCTTTTGTGTTAAAGTATATTTATGGTTGCCTTTACTTTCAGATTATTGTTTATAATATGTCTTGTGAAAGTTATTATTATGATCCAATATGTAATATTGAATAAAATAAAAACATAATGTTCAGATATCAAGAATTGCATAGTCTGAGGATAGACAAATTCATAATAACGTTCTTGTCATACAGATTTGTTGTATATTAGTAATAATAATAATAATAATAATAATAATAATAATAATAATAATAATAATAATAATAATAATAATAATAATAATAATAGATAAAAAGTTGAATAACTTAGGATCCTTTCGAAGATTATTCTAATTTATAAATTTTATTCGTCATTGATTGATCTCAGATAAGTAACCTTTTAAAACCATAGAACATTGCCTCATTGTGGTATTTTCCTAACTGTGTTCATTAGTAGTTCGAACAGTCGAGTATTTATCATGAATTCTAAGATTAAAAACATCTGGTCAAGTTGATCACTCTGTTGCATTTATTTCTTTTTTTCATTCAAAGGTTGTTCACTGTTTATAAAAAATACTACAGTTGAACAAAATCAGTAGGATATTTTAGTTGTTAAATTAAATCAAATAATTCAAATGTAAGTTTGTGAAACAAAATATTTTAATATGGTATAAATTCACAAAGAACAGTTTTAAGTTATAGGATGTTATTGTCAATTAAACATTATATCTTTCAATAAATCTGTAGTAATTCAGAAAATATTCAGTTATCAGATTGTTAATAAGATCATGTTCATAATTAGTAGGTTTGTAACATTCACTTTATCAGTTTTCTACTTCAGAATTAATATTCTCACTTTACAATACTTTGTTTTCTTTTAAGTTAATTTCATATTAGGAAAGTAATTACACTAATGAGATTAAAAATATCGATTTATTCAGTTCATCTAATAAAAGATTATTCCGAGACTTAACGGTTTGTGATGAAAAACAGAAAACTTTTCTTGTTGGAATCTTGTCATTACAACTAAACGTGTAGCATGCTATGAAAGTTTATACGACAGCTAAACATTGAATGGTTGTTTACTTATATTTCTTGGAAGAATGAGAAGGGTAATATTTTCTCATCATCACCTTTATGAAACGGTTTTTCTTGTAAAACGATGTATTTGCGGCATCCTTAACATAACTGTCAAATTAAAAGATATCACTTATTTTATCTATTTTTTTTAGTTTAAATTTGAGCATATTTACAAAATGAGATTTCTACAAATTTTGATGATATTAGTCTTATTATCAGTTTCATGTGTTCTACCTTTACAATCTGGTCGAATACTTGATTTAATTCAACAACAGAAAATATTGGCACCAAATGAATTAGAATTAGATGATCCACTAGAATTTCAAAAACTGTTCTATCGACCACGGAAACCAAAAGATTCCGGAGAAGGATACCAAAGATATTATGGAAATTTAATGAGATATGGTCGTTGATAAACAAAAACATTTGTATTCTACGTCGAGAATTCTAAACTAACAAATTATTTGTTAAATATTAAAAGTATGAAATACAAAATTGATGTTATTCTTCTAAAATGTATTTTGCATTTTAAATTATTCTATGCGAGTCTATTTACTGAAAAATAAAGTTTTGCTTGAAGTATAGTAGGAATTAGATATCTTAATCTTTATACCATGGGATCCTGACACATTCTGTGAATTTATTTTTAGTAGTGAAGATCATTTATTTTGATGGCATTTTATTTATTTAAACTTGATCACATTTTATAGAAGCTAAATGACTTCGTTGGTCGATAAAAGGTGCCAGATGTTTGTGACTCAGTACGTAAGAGCTAATAAATTCATCGAAATCATACCTTTATTTGTTGAACTTGTATTTTGCCGATAATCAAAATGATCATTAACTAATTTAAAATAGAAACTGTGACTCTTCAAAAAGTAGTGTAACGTTCAGTTATAGGATACAATTTCGTTAAACCGTTCGTTTAAGCTGAATTACTAATAATGACTAATAAAACCAGGTACTATTAATCATGGGAGTGAAAAACCTAAATTATAACTTTAAGGCTTGGATAGTGATTAATATAAGAGTCCACAATACAAAACTTATGAATGTGCAAATTTTTCAAAATATATCTTCGTTCTAGAGTTTATTGATGTTCATTTTAAGATTCAAATGTCACCTAATGACTGAATTGAATAATCCTGGGTTGAACAAATGATAATTCCTCACCGACTCATCTGTGTCAAAAATTACACCAAAACTAAAATATTTAGATCTAAAGACAGAGATAAATATCTATTAGAAATTTGTGTATTTGCTTATATGCAAGTAAACTTGGGAAATAAAATTTGATGTTTTACGAAAAGTGTTTACATTCACAATAACATATCGTTAACCCTAGTTGTGGCCTAGAGGAAGTCCTATCAAACTGCTGCAAAATAAAAACATTTTTTCCTAGGATACGACGATTCCATTTATTACTTCGCTATTGTTGGCTGTCCCGTTCGGTTAACCTCTAAACATGAAATTGGTTGATCATTTCTCTATGAACTAACAGATTAGATCTGTGTTCACATGTTTGATGTTTTAGGTTGATCAGAATAGAAGCTTCCAGGGATTTTCTGGGATCGTTATGATCTTATCGATCCAGAGTTACTAGACGTTACCAATAGAAGTCATATTCATAGTTGCCTTCATGCACTTATATCATTGATAATCAATCATGTAACAACCCTCATTAACTGTTGTAATTTATGTGTCAATGAATTAAATGTACATTTCGTCAATGATGGTATTACTGACAATTAGCGCAACTCATTCTGTAGACGACGCCGTATTTAGCTTCCTTCACTATTATCTCTTTCAGTCAGCATAAAATAGGATGACAAACTGAAAAAAGTTCGTAACGCACGCTTAAAAATCATTATGATGACTTGTGAGATACTTCTCACATATGATCTGTTTCTTGATTTCTTTTTTTACTGTAGGTTGGTTTTCTAGACATCTTTTGATGAAGATGTTGCCATAAGGATTAATAGAGGATACGTACAGAAGTTGTTTTTCTTCAATTTCCAGTGCATTGGTAGTGTTGTGATAATGCATGATTCTTGTGTATAGGATTTGTACACATTTCCTGTGCGTTGTTGCTGTTGCGGTTTAGCCTATTATCCACGAGTATTTGCTCTTTGTATATTTGTGTTTCCATGGTTATTATGTTTGTTTAGTTGACTAAGCTATCCAACAATGAATCTTTTTTTTGCGATTCTAATTCTTTTATAAATTTAATGTTGTTGAAGCTGCTGTTAATCAACTTGTGTGTATTCTGAAATCTATCTCTCTCTTCAAGGTAAAAGTGTCATCTTTTAGTGATTATGTCATCTAGAAGAATATCTAAAACCTTAATAATGATCTATATTTGACTGTTAACTATAGTCGACATAATCTGTATTTTAACTGATCTTGGATGGTGTATCAAGCTTCAAAATGTTCTCGAAATTACATGAATGATATCAGCATGTTATATACACATAATCAATATCAGTTTGCAATACTACCTTAAATTTATCTCGAGAGTTCATAACTTCAGTCAACTGTATTTCGAACATTCTCAGTACTTACAACTACTGCTTCTCAGGTGGTATATGAAATATTGCAAAATAGTACTCCAGAAAAAGTATAAGAGAAATAAATACAGTCTTTCAGAGTTCACTGACGACATATGGACTAATTACTACAAAAGTTTAGTACTAAAACTGCATAGAAAGAAGTTTGTGGATGTTTGTCGATGCTTCTGATAAAATCAGATGTTCCGTCGTACTTAACTCCATCGGTAGAGCTCAAGGGTGAAAATTCATGAACTGTCTCCAAATGTTGGAAGCATTTCGACTCAAACGGTTTCATGATTAACGGGGAAAGATTTTGAGTCTATGCCAGTTACAGTTTCATGCATTTCATCACTGGCATTCTGGGAACATGAACATTAATTGAGTGCTGCAAATAATGTAAGAATTACAGGTGTGATGATGTCACGGTCGTCCAGGTAAAACAATTAGTAGAATCATTTGAACATATAGTTTTGTATATTCTGTCTGTTCAGTTGTTTGATTCAATACGTTAATTCAAAATTGTTCGGGATTTTTTAATTGGTCACTGACACTGCATAACATTTTTACTTCATATTCTACATCAGACAATGCTAACTATTATTTACAAAGCAGTCTTAGGGCTTCACAGAAGTACATGGAGTGATTCATTTTTCTCGTTGCTTGGATCTTCTCATTGGTTTTTAAGACTGATACAAATTATTCTCTTTTGATATATGTGCATCTTGTATGGATTGCCTCAATATTTACTGTTACGTCACAAACACTGTAAGTATAGTTGGGTAGTAGCAGTCAGTGGAGTTGAGGACGCACGTTTTGTCCTGTTCGGAACTCATTAGCTGGACGTACCTGCATCTGAGTTGACGTTCGATCCGGGACTCGAACCTGAGATCGATTGCATCTAAAACTTACAGCGTTTGTAATAATTTTCTATTACAGACAATAGTGAAGTCCGTGATGGATGCTCAAGCAGATATCAACTATGGAATGAAGGTGGGTCCAGCTAACGAGTCACAAATACAATACGTTCGTTAGTGCTCACCTAGTTCTATCTACCTAGATTGTTATATTTCGGGAATTCCTGGTTTGTACAACAATTCAAATACTTCTAATGATCACATTATTATACTTCGTATACTATATAAATGACTCCTCATTACATGACTGCCTAACCTATGTGGCCTGACCTTGAAATGACATCAATGATAACCTGGTGTCAAATTGTAGTGAAAGTCAGAGACATTCGTTTGTGAGAAACTTTGAAAGATAAATAAAACCTAACTAACGGAATAAAATGCCTTATATGGAGGATGACATTTAAGTTATTTATGACAACTCGAGAGAGCTATTCCGCTTCTATATTTTTCACGCATAGACCTTCACGACTTTCTTTCAAATATTCGGCGTCCAACGCTAATCTTTTAATTTATTTCATACCTTACTTCAGGAGTCAAAAGTGTAGGAACCATTATTTGTCTTCTAAGACTACATTCTTGTATACGGAAATCGTTTGAAGTTGAATTATGTTTGGATGTTTGAAGACAGATAAACGCCACATTAATACAGTACTAAAAAGACGATCAAGATTGAGTTATAGGGTAAAAATATTTAACAATGGTATTTGGTCATAGAGTAATGTGCCATGAAAATAAACATTATAATTCCACTTTTTCAAACTGATAATAAAATTATTAAAACAAGCAAATTCGTGGATTTGTTGTAGTTAGACATTAACACCGTTGGATGCCGGCTCAGTGGTCTAGTGGTTAAGTGCTCGCTCGCGAAGCCAGTAGGTCCTGGGTTCGAGCCCCGCGTGTAGCGGGATCGTGGATGCGCACTGCTGAGGAGTCCCATACTAGGATGAAACGGCCGTCCAGTGCTTCCAGGTTTTCAATGGTGGTCTAGCTTCAACTGACTCTTGAGTTCAATCTGTGAAATACAAGGTTATCAAAAATGGCAGTCAAGTGATATAAATTACTGCATGGACTAAAATGCCCATACTTACTGAAACATGATGATCATAACAGAAATACGTGTGACATTAAGTACAGAATTTACTAATCAAATAATTTATGTGAATCTTAGTAACATAAAGCAAGCGCAAATATGCTACAGATATACAGAAAAAGCATTTACGAGGAAAGAAGGTATTTCTACTTACTCGGTGTTTATAACATATCTGTGTCCATACAAAACACATAGTATTTGTGAAAAGCCTTGATTTAGGCGCGTTCTTTTAACACAGATAGGCTAAATTTGAAGAGTTCGTTTTCAGGATTACCAAAACAAAAATTCGAAATATTGTTAGTGGAAATGATCTAGAAATACTCACGGGACGACCGCCAACTGATTGTAAGAAACAAAATGTACGAATCTGATATTAAAATAAAGAGATTCCGAATCTGACGGAAACTTAGTAAATGCAACTCTAGTTGTTTATGTTTAGAGTTGGTTTAGGCGTAGTCAGTGCGTTACCATGATGAGAATGTAAGTGTGAAGTTGAGTTCGCTGTAATGACATCGAGTTAGCATAAACCCGTTAAGATTTTGCAGGTTAAGCTATCACTGTAAATTGATGACGCATCTTTTATTCTGAGTAAACATTCGTCAACTGCCTGCAAGGACTTATGCACACACTTAAAATTCTGTGGGTGTATATACCTTTACGGTTGATGAACTCTAATTAGCATCACCTTTTCGCATATGTGTGATTTAGCTATTTTGTAGCCGGTAATGAATATGAACTACTAGATTATCGGAATCAATCTCCTGTAGTTAATCGAATGTGTGTCGGTTCAAGAGTTCTTTGAAGTGTTCTGCCCACCTGTTTCGTTGCTCTGCAATGTTGGTGATTACCTCGCCTTCTTT